ACTGTCCAGCACCCTAACCTTAAATACTAAGAAGACTGTATTCTGTGCTGCTGTTTGGCCCAGAGGCAGAGGCAACAGCTAGAGTCCTCTCCACTACTCCAAGGCACAGAAATTGTGTCCCTCTGGGTTTCAGAGCCGAGACTTTGCGTGGAGTCGATGCCAACTATCTCTACCTAGAATTGCTGTACCTCCCACACACCAGGCCTGGCTCCAGGGCCAGTTAGGTCCTGGCTCAGCCGAAGTGGGAAACAAGCATCAAAGTCTTTGTCTTCATGTAAGCTATCAATTACAATAAACAGAGAGGAATGCTTGATGTATAAATATTTAGAAAATGTTGAGCCCATCCTGGTTTTCTTCACTATTTTGTACAAATGTATATTACCTGAATAATATAGTTAATCGAAAGGAAAGAAAATTATATATATATATTTTTTTTATATATATTTTCTTCCAGGGCAGCAATATGGAAGTTTTTTTTTTTTTATTTGAAATTAAATTAAGAAAAATGAATCACAATTTGGGTCATTTTCTTAATAACTAAGATACAAACAATATTCTCCCTTTTTTTTCCTCCGTATACCCATCAAAAAATGTGAAGAATTACTCATGGCACGATGCTTTTTACAAGCTATTCAATTTCTAGAATATTTTCTTTGCAAGTACCTTTAACTAACTATTTAGATGCATATACAGGTATCAGTCTCTAATATCTAGTTTATAGATTTTCAAGCTATCAGAGAAAAAAAAATAAAAAAGTATTTTTGCAGTTTGAGATTAAACTAAAGCAACATAAACTGTGAGCACAGATATTCTGTTGTAACACCTATTATCAGCTATCAAATGCATTTATGAATGAAAAAATATATCTTTAGGGGAAACGTGTTAAAAGGGCAGTTGACTAATTCAATACCCATCCAGTATCAAAAGATTTCTGTGGGTTAGATGGTGCAGAAGTGAAATTACATCTGTTCATGTGTTTCTCCCTGGTTGCTTTTGAAACATATGATTGAGAGAGAAAGACAACCTTGGATAAACACCCTGTTGCAACAGCGCTAATGTTAACATCTTAGCATTAGTAATGCCTTGGCAAAGGATTTAATGGACTTGATATGCCACCATTCGCAGCATTCAGCTTTCTTAGAGAGCCTGGTTCTCAGCGCTCCTGCAAAATTACTTAATGGCCTCAGGTATTTTGCATATCTACAGGAGCAAAAGCCATAAATGTCACTCAGCTGAAAGGAAATGATTTATGTCTTTTGTCTCTATCAGAGGCTTTTGTTAAAACAGGGTAAACATATACTGCCGTGCAGCAGATACATCAAGGACCATTAACTGTATGCAAATGTGAATTTGAGCTCACCAAATGTACAATTGCAGAAATTCCATCAGTGGCCAGAGTTCAATGCCTCTTCAGTCTTCAAGTGTGCAGATAATGGTCACTGTGACTGTACATCGCTGCAATTCAAAATCTCATCTGCTCCATCACTGGGAAAATTTTTGCCACTAAAATAACACAGATAAAGGCAGGCCTTGTTGATGCCGGTTGGGCTCTGTGCTATTGTAGGAGATGATGAATGATAGACAGCAGAAGATGGGTACATACTATTCACAGTGCTCCATGTGGCAGCTTGCATTTTCACACTGGTACAGTATGTTTGTCAGCTACAGACAGCTCAGGCACTTACGCACTGACGTGGGCAAGCAGGGTAGTGTTCTGCCAGTGGACTGCGTCACGGCCACATGCATGTCCTACGTACCACCGTGGAGACCCTCTCGTACATGGCTCTATAGGCTGCAGGGACAGATTGGAAGGTCTTGGCATGGTAAAAAAAAAAAGATGCCCACAACAGAAAGCCCCTTTGAATCGTCATCCTGAAATCTGATCCAGGTACAGTTGGTAATAGAACTGTGCCATATTTAGATACTTTAGCATTATCTGGAGCAAACTGATTCTTTTTCATCTAGTAACATATTTAGTGCTTCCTGAAAGCATTCAAAACCCTGAACTTTACTTACAGCTATAATTGTAAGTGAGTATTAATGTGATTTTATATCATACACATTTGATCGGTAGATATGTTTCTAGAATAAGATTTTGATGTGCATTTGTCTTCAGCTCTCATAAGTCAGTCATTTATAGAACAACCTATAGTAGAATTGCTGTCGCATGATTTTGGTTTAGCTATGTCTGCAGCATTTCATATCTAGAGCTTTAACTTTTTTGCACATTGCTATTAACATAACTTACTCAGATGGATGCAGTATGGGAGCATTATTTCTTCAATATTGTTTGAACGTTTCAGGATTGTCTTGAAGTGCAGATCTGGGGAGCGATACAGATAACCCTCTGTGCCTTATGACTTCAGTGAGATCATTTTTGGTTAAAGGAAGAAGTTTGGGAGCTGATCAACTGTCGAAACCAGGCATGTCCAAAGTTGGTCCTTAAGGACCACTGTCCTAGAGGTTTTCAATGTTTCTTGATGTCAGCACAGCTGATTCTGTTGATTGCACTTCAGAAAAATCCTAGTAATCAGCTTTTCAAAACCTGCAGGGCAGCGGCCCTCGAGGACTGACGTTGGACATGCCTGGTTTAAAGTGAGGTGTCAGTGAAAAGGGAGGTGACCTAGAACCCTGTGGTCACTCTGTCAGAGCTACACTGTTCCTCTGTAGAAAGAGAAGAACCTTCCAGAAGGACGCCTGAAGCAGCTAGGTTATTTCCAGGAAGAAAATCTGCTACAATTTACCAATAATTAAATATGGTAGTGTGGTACATGGTGAATTTCCTGTACTTACATGGAGTTTTATCAAGTCCAAGGATCCCAAAATGCTATAAAATACAGTTAGTCATTCATGAACACATTTATACGCTGCCAGAGGTAATCTACACTGTAGATACAACTGAGTTGGAAATGGTTGACAGAGGTTAAACCACAAGGAACCCACAAAATGTACCTCCTTAGCTACCATGACCAGAAAAAAGCCTCGCTGAATAAGAGTCACAATGCAGTTTTTAAAAAGACACACAAAAACTTCTCTGATGAAACAAAGATTGAACTCTGTTTCCATCCTAGGCATCCTCTTTGGACAAAAGCACCATGCTATTGGGATATTTTTCAGTAGCAGGATTTGGTTGTCTATTTAGGATTGAGGTAATGATGAATGCTACATTGTGAAGAGACATCCTGGATGAAAACCTGCTAAAGACCTCAGACCGAGGCAACAACCCGAAGGACACAGACAAGATCTTAAGAGAGCTGCTTTGGAGTTCTCCTGTGAATTTCCTGGTGTGGTAACGCGAGAGTCCAGAATTAAATCTAAATATAAAATCTCGGGACAGATCTGAAAATTGTCTTTGCACAGATGTCTAAAATCCAAACTGACAGAGTTTGAGATGAATTGCAGGGATGAATAAACCAAATTCCCCCCAAAATTAGGTGTGTTAAGCTTAAGGCATATTATCCAAAATTATTTTAGGCTGTAATTGCTGCAAAACAGGGATAAACAATTTATTTAGCAAAGGCTGTAAGGCTGTGAATATCTATTCAGACATTTTTTCTCAAGCAAAAAATAAATAATAAAAAAAACACATTGTCATAATGATGGATTTTTTACCATTTGGAACAGGGTTGTATTATTCTTAATTTGGAGAAAGTTTACTGCTGTTGACACTTTATTGATGCATGCTAGCTCTCTCCATTCTTCTATCAAATGTTTTTGTTGATAGAATATTGAAGAGAAGATTGAAGAAGAGAAATCTGCCAAAGGTTATACATTTTGCAAAATGGCAAATTTTTTTTTTTTATAATCTTTGTTGCTAACATTTTCCTTATCAGACTTGGAGACTATGCAGCTGTTCTAGTCAGTCTGAGCCTCTTCTTCCTGAGAAAATGCCTATAGAATAAGCATAACAATGATGCATTCTGAAAAAACAACAAACATTTTTTTTTTTTTATGTGAAAATTTTTGTTGATGTCCAAACTAAGATAAAAGGGGATTATAAATAAAAAATAGCGAAACCACTCTGACCTTTATAAATATATATATATGAAGATGTTCTATGGACTCATTACTCTATGGATGTTCTAAAAGAAAAACTTTCAAAAAATACTCAGTGATCCATTAAGTATATCAGAGGTTTGCATTCTTTAATTTATTCTCTCATTGGCAAGGCTCATTAATTGAATGGACAGCCACGTGTAAGTAAGTCCATGGTCAAATTGTTTTTATCTATGGTATGGCATTAAATTTTATGTATATAGATGCACAGTGCACACCACACTTTTTAAATTTTAATTGTTTTCCTTCATCTTTGCTATCATGACATTCTTTGAACATTTTCAGATTTATATGTATAATATGGCAACATTTGAAATAAAAGTTTAAATGAAAAGTATATAAGCCCAGGTTAATGTTTTTTTTTTCTTTTCCTTTTTTTTCAGGGAGTATTTGAGCCCCTGGACAGACCTAAGCACAGATAATAATACCAGCATTCACAGGAATCCCAAGTATTTTGACAAGACGAGACAAGGAAATGAGTCAAGCAGGAGCTTCAGATCACTTCCCTGACAGGGCAGGAAAACCTCCTGATTAAAGAGATCACAGAGGCAATCGTGGTGTTATATCAAGAGACTCCTTTCAGACATTAAAAGGGTTTCACGTGAAATATATCTGAGCTCTGTGATTCACAGAGCAGAGCTGTGATTTCTAACTTTGGGTCTGCAGTCAGGAGCCACAGGTGGCCTGTTCTAATGTGTATTTTGGGAAGTGACACACTCGTTCATTGCAATGAGGGGCTCTCAGAGCCATGTGGCACAGATTGGGTGAAGTGAAAAAAAGAACAATATTTGCAAGTTTTCATTTTGCTTTTTCCAGAGACACACAAGAAACTTAGAGCTTCCAGAAAATGTTTATTTCATTCATAAACTTTTAATAAAAATAACAACATCAATATTAATGTAATATATTGTAGAAATCATCTATGTACAAAATTTTTACTTGAACAGTTAATATAACTTAAGGCGAGTTAAATTACTTTTTTTGCAATACCCTGTTGGTGACAATATCACCAAATACTTCAATGCTTTTATTGTATTTGTTATTTATTTATTTATTTTGCTAAAGTGAACATTTCAGCAAAAAGTACCCTCAGCAAAAGGAACCAGACGTCCAAAACCCTTTAATCTACAGTCTACAGAGACTCGCAGCAATGTGTGCTACCAGATTACTCAAAAGCAATGTTTATGTGGTTTGCTAGGAACTTCTAGCTCAGCTGAACATAATTCTGTACAACCTGTAAAAGAGTCTAATTTACTGAAGTACATATTCCCATTGAAAATCCATATCAACAATTCATCGAGACAATTTTCTCTATCTCACCAATAAAGGAATGACTTGCGAAAAGTGTTTTTTTTTTGTCATATCAAACTGTAACATTCAAAATATTGTTACGAAATGATAGCCCTAAAAAAAAATTATAATTAATCAAGACATTATTTATAATTGAGAATACATTTCACTTTATGATTAATTGTCAAATATTCACTTAATCTATAAAAATACAAAGAGGTACAGTGATACAAATATATTTATTTCCCATTTATGATATATCTTCCACAACTGTAATAATCTAATAAACGATTGTAACACAACACAAAGACCAGTGACAAAAGAAACATTGACAGTAAAATGAAGAGTAAGATAAAAACACTAAACTGATCATAGATGAACAGCTTCATGGTCAAAACCATACATTCATGTCTAAAAAACAAAACAAAAATACAACCCTTTAATTCACTGCGATGAGTGAGGGGCTGAGAGTGGCTGATATTCCAGTTAAGTGAAAGAAAACATTGACACAAACATGCACTTTGTTTTTTTTTTTTTTGAAGAAAACATAGGTTAAAATCATTGCTCTACGAATGCTAAAAGCAGAAACTAAGGAATCTATTAATTGAAATATTCATAATTTCTAATCTGTAAATGCAATCCACACATGGCTCTGAGGCAAATGGAGGCTGGAGCTGTCCAGATTGAAGAGGTGCTGAAACAGACCGGTCATGCAGTGTAGAACACAGAGGCTTTGGCGCCTCTGAAAGTTAAAGCAACAAGTCTCTGTTGATCTGCTAGCCGACCTGTGCAGCTTTGGCATGGCTGCAGAAAGTCAGCAGCAACGCGCTATAAGGCTCTTTTCCTCCTCCTTGCTCCTCTGAAAATAAACCTCTGAGTTTACAGGATGATTTGCAAAGCAAAACCAAGTCAGGCTGGCTTCATCTTTTAACATTTTATTCCCGCCAAACAAAAAGGGCGCAACTTTCATATTCCCTCTGGAAGACTGAACGGCCATGGCCCAGCGGTCACCTGTGGCTTTATCTCCATTTTTTCCTTCTGCTTCAGGTGAACGCGTCCGTGCCGCTTCCTCTCGTCGCTGCGGGCGAACCTCTTACCGCACACGTCGCAGGAAAAGGGTTTCTCCCCAGTGTGAGTCCTGGTGTGGGTGGTAAGGTGGTCGCTCCGGCTGAAGCTGCGCAGGCAGATGCGACACTGGAAGGGCTTGTGGCCCGTGTGGATGCGGATGTGCCGGTTAAGCTCGTCGGAGCGGGAGAAGCGCCGGTCGCAGCTCTCCATGGGGCAGGTGAAGGGCTTCTCCTTGGCCGGGCCGTTGGAGGAGGAGGCGGGGCTCTTTCTCGCCCTGCTGCCGGGAGGCTTCGCCGTGCGGTTGGTGTAAGTTTGCGGGAAGGAGTCTGGCAGCAGGGAGGAGTATAGGATGGAGTCTATGGTGCTGGGTAAGGCTGGTGATGTGTAGAGAGGGTCGCACTGGTTTGATGGCTGCGGGGGTTCTGGAAAGGGTTTCAGGCCCATAGTTGGTGGTGGTGGGAGGTAATTATTATAGAGAGGGCTGGAGTAACTCTGGGAACAGGTGTCAGAGAAACATGGCTCCTGTTTGATCCCCCCCTCCACCTTAAACTCCATCTCTGGGTTGGGACAAATAGGGGGGAAAGTCTCCAAAAGGTCCTTAACGTCCATTTGCTGATCAGGTGGGAAATCATTGGACATGGGGAACGTCTCTGAGTGGAAAGTGGTTTCCAAACAGTCAGACTTATTGTTAAAGCTCCCCCACTCATAGCAGCTGTTTTCAAACTCATTCTTTACTACAACGGGGAAAGAAGCGGCCTCCGACTTTGGCTCTGGCTTCTTTTGAAAGCCGAACTGGGAAGTGGACGGGTCTTGATGGGCTTGGTTGTCTTGCGGGGTTTGGTCTTGATCGGATCCGGAACAGGTGTATGACTGCCGCTTTGAGTCCCCGAAGCCGCCAGAGCTGCTGTCTGGAGGCCCGGGAGAGGGGTATGTCCCCCGGCTGCAGTGGCCGTTCTGTTGCGCCTCTGAGAGCGGCAGCGTGGATATGCCCACGATCTCGGTGATCATATTGAGGAGTGTTTCGGTGCTGCAGGGCGCTCCCTGAGATGCCTCAACATAGAAGCTGCCGGAGTAGGCGAGCGAGGAGGAGGAGGAGGAGGGGGTGTATGCGTCTTTTGGGCACTCGCAGTGGGTAAACGCGTACTCCGAGTTGGAAGCCTCCGTTTTTAGGGTTGCAGGGGTTCCTTCTGATGAAACAGAAAAGGGGAGAACTTACAAATGATGCCTTACATAAACCTTTCTGCGCATTTATCCCTCATTTACTCTTTTGACACAGTAAAAGTGGCACCCATTTCTGCAAATGCTCCCAACCCACACATTTCAGCCGTGCATGCGGGGTTTATCAAGCAGTAACTTACCGTGGCCAAACTGGGCAGGTACCCCCCGCTCTGCATCGACAAACACCTCTTGGTTGTTATCTTTCCGCACGCCGTTTTCCATTCCGAGGGAAGAACTGTTGCAATTCTCAAACTGAGGATAAAAAGAATCTTTCGCATTCAAATCCATATTGTTCAACATAATGATGCACTTAAGAAGTCCGTCTCTCCCAAGGTATTAGAAAAGGACAGGGGAAAAAAAACAATAACAAAAAAAGGAAGAAGGGGGAAACAAATAATGCAGATCACCGTTCTATATCCAACCTCCTTATAAATGGCTTTTTCATAAATGATCCAAAGCAGTAAGAAAGAAAAAAAAAAGAAATTCAATTTAAGGTATTCCTTTTCGTTTCTGGTCCTCGGTAGGTATTTGCTTGCTGTGGGTTTCACATCAGCGACTTCCCCTTTCTCTCCTTATATACACTTTGGCAGCTCCCTCGGACCCTCCTCCCCATTCATCGGCTCCAGTGAGAGGATTCCCCGCTGCGTGTAAACTTCATGCCCATATGTGGACAGAGGATGTGACGGAGTCCCCCACTTCTCCCTCCCTCCTCCTGCTTTACAGAGAAAGAGAGAGAGAGCAGGGATGGAGTCTGACGTTGCAACAAGTGGCGGCCACTGTTGGTATTTCTTTCCAATAAATAATCATTATTTTATTTGTTAAAGCGCACAGACTGGCTGAAAATATATCTTAAAACATCACACCAAAAAGCTAACTACTTAAAACGACCCTTCAATCTTCTAACCTTAAAAGAACTCAAGTAAAACCATTTTCGTGTCATTCATTTCTTATCTGTCTTATTATTAAAGAGTCCACACATTTAGAGTTTATATCTATAATAATGCGGCTGATTTGTGAAGATCTTAGAGGTTTGTTAGACTAAATTAGTAAACAGCATAGTGAATCAAGCATTATGAAAACCAATGTACACAGCAAAAGGGT